AATGCATTTGATACTTCTGCATTAGTGAACATGCAATTGGGTTTGTCTTTCTCATAATCTGATCCGAGTTAATTGGGAAGCGAGGTTACACCCACTGTCACCTTTACTCAGTCTCCCACACAGTTTCGTCTTCTGTTTGTGCTTTGTGACTGGTTCCTTATACTTGCTCCTGTTATTTGTTGGGCATTTCGAGAAGCGAGGTTGCCCCCACTATCATCGTCATGCCCAGCTTTGCAGTCTGCGACACCGTTTCGTCTTCTGGTTTCATAAACATTTTGTGGACATGGAAGAAAATTAAATTTTAGTTTTATATACGTCCATTATAGAAGGTATTATTATGCGCAATCTGACAAAGTAAAAAAATAGAAAGCACCGTGATTTTTTAAAATTCTGTTGTGTTGTAATTGGGTAGGCTTCAGAAGACAGTTTTCGTCATTTAAAAAAACCCGTCATGAAATCCTAAACTTGTCAAAATCATGTGTAAGCCCGGGCTTATTGGCTTACATGGTAGCTACGCGCCTGCTTATGACGTCAAATATTGGGGTACCCTCTAATTTTCAGGGAAAACACCAATACAGAGGCCCTATCTGCCTAATCTTTAAAAAAAAAAATGAAATAATAATATCGGTTTCATCTGAACATTGCAAAGTTTGAATATAATCCATGCGTGGACAGATTAAGAACCCCACCTTTAGTAATTTAGTGAGCGTGTATCTTAATTACGAGATCTTGACCTTTACTTTAAGGTCAAAGGTTTTCCCCTCTAGGTCCAAAGCCGAAAATTTGAGGTTTGTTCTGGCGCACATTTATGACATCTTGATGAAAGTTGAAGCATATCCGCTTCACATGCACTGTAAAGAGTTCACCGTCACTTTCACCTCCAGGTCAAAGGTCAAATACGATGGAACTGCAAAGAAGACGTTCATTGTGCTCACAAGACAAATCTCTAGTTACACGTTGATTACTACATAAAGGCAGCTACGTCGGTAATGAATAAACAAACACTACGTTAATATCAAACAAATGAGGTAAAGATTTAAATAAGCACTAGCACATCTGCTGGCATTGAGTCAAGAAGGATTTTATCAGTTGCAGTACCATGTTCTCCATACCATTAGTCAATCAATCGTAGAAATTAACGCTGAGCACTGCTAGGTACTACTATATATGAGCTGTGTTTGAAAGCCGTTGACTTGCGGACTTTTGGCAAGTTGTGGCTTGGAGGAACTCACTGTCCCATTGGGTTGTACATTGAGTAGTTTTGACCGGGGGAGGGGGGTTGGGGAGGGGATCATATAGCTCAGAATCTCCAATGTTATCTTGCTTCACCACGAACTCTTTTGATTATTGGAAGCCATCGACTGGGTAGGGCATTGGATCCTGTCCCCGCTGAAGCGTTCTTGATCTCCCCTAACATAACAGTACCCAGGTAAGATTTCACTGACACAACGTTCACCTCTCATAGGGAAATCATTAACAAGAATGATTTTCCCTGTTTACTGAAAACTCTTGCCCTTTTTTCTGCACATCATGCTCCTTTCGGCCTTGGTATTACTTGTAGCACTAGTGTCTGGCTTCATGGACATTGGTTTGACATTGTCTGGGACCTCCTAGCCATCAATAGTGACATGGCTTGCTGGTGAGGTCTAGATTTTGGAGTTCACAGCCTGTACTTATGGGCATATTCTCCGCTCCTACCGGCTCTTGTCGGCATGTTTCTGGAGTCGGGATTAGCAGGTGATCTGGAGTATATCATTAAGTAGCTCCACAGTTTGATAGGGTTCCAGACTTTGTTCCGGCACCAGACGTTCCCTGTGTAATACACCATGGACTGCATGCAAGGTTATGATTTTCAAATAAGAGTTATGTCCCTTTTGCCGCTGATGTGACATGCAACCCCAGCTTCAGCAGCCGTACGAGTTGTCGCGCCACACGTGCTCATTGTAGCCAGAAGCTGTCTATGTGGGTCTCATATATTGCAATTTGTCTACGTCACGTTTCCATGCCAACCAACGTGCTTTACTAACTACCAGTGGCGCACAGGCTATTGTGTGTTGTATGAGGCCCGTCCGTCGCTACTACTCGTGTACCTACCACACACCGGTACAGCACGGCCACCGTATATACCGGCTGATCGATCTCTCCGCACGACTGCCAATGTAAATCCCCGTAAATTATCATGTAATTTTACGCCTATTAATACGACACCGTGTCACATCGTGGGGTTGTGGAACGGTGTGACTGGCGACAGGCAAGATGTGATCCCGAAACAGATCGAGAGGCCAGACGCGTTATAACGAGGGAACATCATCTATACGTGTGTGATTTAGAAATATATGTGTGTGTGTGGTAGCTTTTCCGCGTCATCATTTTAATCATCGTCATCCTCATCCCAAAGCATAGGCGGTAGTGTATTAAAGTGTCGTATGGATTTTCCAGCATCACCACCAACAGCACCGACTGTATCCATGATTGAATGTAGTCTGACGACGAAACGTTGGCTGTTTGTGAGAGATACGTTATATAATGCAAGCTAGCACACCAGGCGAGCCACAATCAGCTGATATAACAAGAGTGTCGTCTTCTTTATATCGCCACAGCAGCAGCGAAAGTGGCACTAGCAGCGAAGGGGTCAAATGCATCCCCTTTAACCCTGTCACAAGGGAGAGCATCAGTGGCGTCTCCATTACCATGAAAACCCAGCCCCGCAAAGACGGGTTTGACCCCGACCACAAGACAACGACCCGGATAGATTTCGGGGACTTCTTTCCCGACGGCGGTTGGGGCTGGGTGGTAACAGGAGCCGCGACTCTGGTAAACATTTTGTGTAACGGATTCCATTACGCCTTCGGGACCCTGTACCTTTGCATTTTAGAACAAAAGGAATTGAAACATCGAGCTGACGCCATCAATACAGGTAATTCAGTTGTATTATCATGAAAAACAGCTGATCCATTGTGTATAAAATCTAAAGGAGAACGAGGAAAAACGGACCAGTGTATGTCAGTATGACACAAAGTATAGTTTATGTCACTGTGACAAAAGGTATATTGTATGTGACTGTGACACAAGGGAAGTGTATGTCACTGTGACACAAGGTATAGTATTTGTCACTGTAACAAAGGGTATATTGTATGCCAATGTGAAACAAGGAAATTGTATATATCACTGTGATACAAGGTATAGTGTATGTTAATGTGACACAAGGTATAGTGTATGTCACTGTGACACAAGGTACAGTGTATGTCTCTGTGACACAAGGTATAGTGTATGTCACTGTGACACAAGGTATAGTGTATGTCACTGTGACACAAGGTACAGTGTATGTCACTGTGACACAAGGTA